AGATTTTTCATCATTTAAGTTTCATTTTTTTGTCAAAGCACTTACAAAGAAAATAATTTTATATTTATGAAATGCTAGTGTTGCATATTCTTGTAGAGATTATCTATTTCAATTTTATATAATGGATATTTAAATTCTTAGTATTTTTACAAAGTAGAATAGGGCAGTCTTTTTGATCAACAACATTCCATTTGCTTCTTAAAAATTTAGACAAAGTTCCTAGTGCATTTTACTAAGCTTTACCTTTGGTGTTAAGCAGTGACTTTTTAGATTTCCCTTTTAAACAATTTCTGGAGTGAAGATTCTTTGGCTTTGGGGGACTATGCTAACGACAGTCAAACATCCTGGATTTTTTTTGTTTTCTTAAAGGAAAATATAAGCCTACTATTAAATACCATAAGAGACAGATTTCAGAATCAGACAGATGCAATATGCAGGCTTCTGTAATGAAATCGCCGACAGCTGAATTCTCACTTACCTGGACACCTTCACCTCTCCACTCACTGGAGCAACATCAAGGTGCCTCTTTGTAAGTGAAAACCAGGCCCTGTTTGTTTTGGCTAGTCTGAGTACTGAGTGTGGCCTGAACATCTTAACCATACAAAAGAATCAGCTGTGCCAGCAGGAACATAGCCATGGTGGCTATTTTACACTACAGCACTTCCTGTACTATTTTATATCTGGAGTCCAAATCTGTTTATGCAAAAGGGTGTTTAAATTACTCTGCTAGAGCACTGCAATTATTGTACTTAGTAAAAAAAAGTCACTAAACAAATACTGTATCTATTGACTGCTCATTTACAGCTTATTTAATTATTTACATAATTTTAGGACACATTAACCTAAACCATAAGTAGAATTAGCTTTTTGCCTTACCATAAAGTACAAATTAGAAGTTAAAAATGTTTAAGAAATCTGATAATATTTACACACGTTCAGCTTAAGTTATGGTTGCTCACATCGTATGTTCTATGTACACATAGCAAAATGTTTTGACCACTACTGATATAGTATTGTACCCTGGCCATCCCACCCTAGATTATTTTTCTAGAAATAGTTACTATTTTTGCCTTTTTTTTTTTCTTGGTTCCCTAAGGAATTTGTTGGTTTTGAAAATTTACTAGTGGACAATGCTGTTATAAAAAGAGAGAGAAGAAATAGGCAAGCAATGTGAGGACTAGTCTAATTCCAGATGCAAGGAGGTACAGTACTATCATCATGTCAAACGGTGCAATACTCCATACGAATCATAAGCATTGATCTGCTGATATAGAAATGCCCAGTTACCCTGTCGAGTTAGTTGTTTGGTTTTTTTCTAAATACATTACTGTTTATTTTTTTTTTTCTCAAAAATATATTCATACACTGGTTGATGATAGAAACAAAACTATTATTAGCTTATTCCTTTAACACACCAACATGTGAATGTGTGTGCATATATATATATATATACTCAGCACGTGTATATATACACACATATGTCCATACAGACATTTGGGGGTACGTCCATATGCACATACAGCTGGAAAATGTTTCACATCTGTTCACTTTTGTTTAGCACTGTGTTATAGGATTGGAACACAGTCTAATATTTATAGTGAAAATAAATTGAGGTTTTAAATTTTAATGCATGTTTTTCTGAAATAAATAGGATATTTTCCCCAGGTATAAGACCACCACTTATTTTCCCTATGCATTGTGCTTTTATACCTTACAGATTTTATGTCTTTTTTTATTAAATTGTAAGAACTCTCTGAAGAACTCTGCCACATGCTGTTATCTAGGACTCTTGTTTTCCTCCCCTGGGAATGAGAAAAGAAATGGTCACAATGTCATTGCTTGAGTCTTTCTTCCCAGTCACTGAACTGCGATAGGATAGAAACATAACATTCCTTATGCAAACACAGAAATATGTTGCATGAATTTTCAGTTCTGAAAATGTGTATCATACTTACTAGCAGTCATGTACAGTATATATTTACAGATTGATCTCAAAGATTTCATTAAAACTGTGCCATGTTATAGTCATAATTCCCCCATGAATTTCGCAGAGATGAAAAACACCTTAATTGCTGGCTATTATGTCTAATAGAACAATAAAATGTGCAACTATAGTTATATTACAAGTTTTTATCTAAATTATTAACTTTTCTATTTTGTTTATTGAAAGCAACAACAATTAACACGATTAAAAAGATCTAGAATATTGATTTTCGGTCAATTCTAAAGTAAAAGCAAATTTATTCTAGTTTACCTGGAGGGTAGCACACATAGCAAACCCCATATCTCATGACTGTTGGCATCATTTCCCACTTTCACTCAAGTATCTCAGGAGTAAGTGCTTACCTGGGGCTCGAGTTCTGCTTTTTCCTTGATAGTGCCTCACCAGCCTTTCTCACCCCCATCTTTTTATATCACAGTGTTAAGCCTTAGTACAAAATGGTAGAATCTTTCTCTTGCACTAATTTTATACATCACATTAATAGCCAGAAGAACGTAGTAAAAGCAAAAGTGCTCCTTCCCCACAGATAATTTATCTTTCCTAGTGACACCTGAGCAGAAACCAAACATTTTCTTTCACTCTCTGAGTAGCAATATCAGAGAGTATTATGGCTTGTACTGTAGCTTCAGAAAAGTGAATGTGCAGTTCCAGGATTCAATCTCTGTGATTTTTGTAACAGCTGAAGCAGTTACCAATGCAGAGAGTCAACACATTCCCTGTAAGGTTTTATATTTGATGTGTATCAACCACAGAAAGGCTGTGAGCTCCCTGCAGTCATGCTCTGCGTCTGTGAAACAATAAAAGGAGCTGTCAGCAATTCCTGAAATGAAAGAAAAGCTTGTACAGAAGAATACCATAAGACTGCTTTCATTTAGGATAATTAATATAATTTTTAAAGAACATACTTTGAAGAGAAATACTGAATTTTGATATGCACCATTTCTTAAAATTGGGGAAAAAAAAATCCAACATGACTCATACCTATCAGCTGAAATCCCAAGTGCATCTACAAAGGTTATTGCGTTATGCATGAAATGCAGTCACAAATTGAGTATGTGAACAAAGAGCAAAATTTTGACTTGGAAAGTTAATCACATGAGGAAAACCTGTCTCTACATATTGCAGAGTCTGAGCCTGGAGGCAGTGTGTGAATGCACACAACTTCCTGGCAGGTAGGGTGTATTGCAAATCCCATCCCAGGATCTGAAATGATCCTCTCTTATTTGAACCACAAATAAGCATATAAAGTGCTCAGGAAAAAAGTCAGAATATTTGCCTATTAGTTCCCAGAACTATTCTCCTCCTATTAGTGTCATTCACTGTCAAACTGGGGGGGGGGGGGACGACACACCAAAAATAAAACCACAGAAACTTCTAAGAAAATTACTCTTTTGAAGAAAAAAAAAATTTAAAAAAATATTTTATGAAAAATATTCTAAACAATTTTTTTTAGTACCCTGAAAAACCACTTATACTCTCTAGTCTCTTTCAAAAATTTGTACACGGATGAGAGGTAGTATGGATGCAACAGATGTGGCTTTTGCTTCTTGAAACATTGTGTCAAACAACAGTGGGGATCTGACCTAGTAAAAGCCATCAAGAATTTTTACTTTTTTTTTACAGTTCTTGTGACTGCTATTTTCATTACAAAAAGAGTTCCACAGTGGAATAAGTGACAAAATTTTTTGTCTAATTTTTTTTTCTATTCTATTTTGCTATTTATTAAAAACAAAGCTCAATGGAATGAAAAAAAACCTCAACCTTTTAATTCAAGAAGCTTCCCAAAGAAAAACAAATTTACTAGTTTTTCAAGAGAAAACACCCTAAAGCAGGAAACATTCAAGAGTGTACTTACACTCTTAAAGTGATTGCTATGAATTTCTTTCCTTTAGAACAGTGCATTAAGGAAAACAAAAAGTGAAATGGTATTGCCTAATCCAGACTGAGAAAAGACCCTGTCAGTACAGAAATAGATATGCTCAGATCTCACCTGCTGAAAGAGGTACAGAACCTTTAACCAACAGCAGGAAGCATAATGCTGGAAAGATGAAAACCTGGAAGAAATCACACAACTCCACACAACTATTTCAGACTAATGTGTGTACAGCTGACAACATTCATCTGCACTGTGTATATACATACATACATACATATATATATATATACACACACACACTTTTATTTATATGTAGCCTCCTGTCTCCTTGCCCCTGCACTTTGAAACTGCTCTCTCACTCTCCCTGCCCTAGAGAAAGGCAGGGCACCAATAGCTTCCTTCAGCCATCCACAGAATTACTATTTGGGCAATTAATTTTGGCACTTTGGACAGATTCCCTTTCCTCAGCACAACCCAGCAGCATCTACCCGCTCAGTGCTCATGCATTTTTATACTGTCCCTACATTCCTCTACTGATCCCAAGCACAGTCACTGTGACTGAGCATATGTCCTCTCTTTGAAATACAAACAAACTAGTGCTTCTTGCTTCAGCTTCTGTGCAAACACCCAACCCCATTATTATCAGTCAAAGGTTCAGTTCTTTCAATAAATAAAAGGAAATACCTGAATATGGTTGGGAAACCTCTGACCATCATCATCTTGGAAAGATGATAGGCACTACTTGTTTTCAAGTTTACACATTTAAAAAGTAAAGTGTATGTGTTTCATAAGCATGATAACGCAGTACACTCTCTTAAGTGTATATGCATGCCTTGGATATGTACTTTCCCTGGAATGGCATGTACTGCTGTTGAAATTAAGACTTGTTTCTCAAATGCTGCTCTATAATTTGTACCACTAAACTCAAACGGCCATTGGGGAAAAAAAAAAAAAGTGAGGGACAATGCGACAGAAGTGATTTTCAAAACGCAATTTGCCTTTACACTCAAAATGCACTTATATTTTGATAAGGGGATATGTCCATACTGCAACTTAACATATATATGGTTTAGCAGATACAACCAAAACATTATAAAAACAGACCATAGAGTGGGCCAGCAACTAAGGTGTTTTAAAATAACTTTTTGTCCTGAATAGAATTTTTCCAAGTCCCACTTTTGGCTGTACAACTGATTTGAAGAGAAATCCAGTTCTTTCCTCCTGCGTGGCTTTGTTTCTTAGTTCACATAGTAAAGCCAATAGACAATATTGAAGAAGGAAAAAACAACAGGGAAGAATATGCGAGACCATCGATCTATGGCATTGACATCAGTCAAGTCAGGGATGGTGATTTTCAGCTGGGACGCGCGTCTCCGTAGCCGGCTCTTCTTCTGTGCCACGTGCCGCTCCAGGGCGTTGCGGCCGAAGCTGTGCCTGGGCAAGCCGGCTTTGCGGTACTGGATGCTCGAAGTGTCATAGGCCAGCATTGTGCTCCTAGGGTCCCCAAGCCCCATCACAGCCTCCGAGGCAGCCATCTCGTTTTTAATTTCCAGCGTGCTCAACAATATGTTTTCGTGTGGGTCCATCTGTAAAAAATAAGACGTCGGGTTTAGCAGAGGGGAAAGGAAGCCCAGTCAGCTGCAAACTGAAGCCATGCTGATAAGGGCCATATCTAGCGTTACTAATTGATTGGATGTCAGCCTGAAAGACTCTAAGCTTAGCCGTGATTATATTTATTATAATTTATTTGTGACCTCACGGAGAAATAGGGCCAGCATAGTGTACTGCAATAAATGGTATTTCCCTGGACCCAATGGTCAGCAAGCACAAGCAATACCTGGGAACAGAGAATACACTCAGCTCCTGAAAGTGGCATTCTGTCACTGAGTAGGAGATGTGGGGCAAATACTGAAATTTTCAGGGGTTTTGGAAGGAAATTGAGTGGAAAAAGATCTGCTTTGTTTTGGTTTTTCTTCTTTCAAATGAAAGCTTTGGCTCTGACATAAACTTCCATTATTCACGAGGTCTCACCACCTCCATGAATGAGGTACAGAGCACTGCACAAGAGAATGCACATTTTAGGTCCCCATATTCCAAACAGGAGTGCTGGTTACTTGGGGAAAGGCAATGGCATAGTCTAGCTACAGCTGTGTGGAAACTCCATGCCCTAGTACTAATACATTTCTTCAATACAGTGCATGCTGTAATAGCATGCTGCTGTAATAGCAGAGATCTGCAATTTCAAGCAAGGGAAAAGATGTGCAGAATGTAATCACATCAAATGTACATTGAACAGTTGTTTCAATGGGTAGATTTAGCTGCTATGCATTCTTTAAAGGCAATTCAGTGAAAAAAATATGAAAACAATATTGTAGAGAAACCCCTTAGACAAGAGGATTTCAAAGATAAGGAACTAAGTTCCACTCTTAGGCAATCTGGAGAAGATCTGGAGTGTGGAAGTAGATTTAAAAAAGAATCCATTTATAGAAAACAAAAGTTATTTAGGGAAGTTCTAATTCTTCTCAGCCATTTCTCTAAGCATGTATTTTGAATTGTGTGATAACAGATTATAATTAACTAAAAGTTCTTAAAAACAATAATAGCTAATGAGAAGCTAGTTAATTACATTGAATTAGTGATGGTAGTGCAGATATACTCCAGGCCAATTAAGAGAAAAAACTGTCCCAGAGCTCCTTTAAGAATAACTCAGCCACATTATTCATTTATCATGTACAGAATATATTCTATGATTAGTACTCAAAGTGCAAAAACTGTGGCCTTTGTGGATTTCTAAACAAAAACAGGGTATCAGTATATTCTGTAATATTTAGAAACCAGCAGTCTGCAGCACGTACCACCCTGCACTGCCCAGAGCAGACTGTGTTCACCATTATTAAACCCCCTATGTAATATTTACCGTGGTGAGATGAGAGAACTGGGTTATAACCAGTTGCTTTTTAGTAGCACCCCCTGCCCAGTGTTCTGAACTGAGAAGTCAGGCACTCACAAAGGCACTTTGGACCTACTGAAACACTGTCATTTGAGTGATTACATCTGTTCAAGTGATGCACAAAACCTAGTGTTGCTGAGTTGACAGATTTCCCTCTCTCTCACTTTTTCCTCCGATCTGTGTGAGTTTGCACCCCTCTAGTTTCATTGTATTTTAATTACAAATCAAATGTCATGACTCAATGTGAAACAAACAAAGTCTTTTTTTTTTTTGTTAGCTTTTCATGAGAGCCACATGAAATGTATGAAATTCATAATGTAGGAACTCAATCTTTACTTGAAAAGCACTGGAAAAATATGAAAACTGAGCTGGAACTCCAGAAAAATTCCTTTAAGAGCTTTGTAGCATGATACTGAGCATAGTGAGGGAATATTGCTTCTACCCAGGAAGGCCATCAAATCTGTTCTTATCTGCATAGGACAGGTAACAGTAGTATTCTGCTATTGTAATTCCAACAAAGCATATATCTGCAAAAGCTTTCAAAAAGATCGATGAAACATCAAGATGGACTTCAAACATTATTTTCTAATGAGTGTATTTACCTGGAAAATTCTTTTGTGATTTTTTGGGGTAAAACAAAAGAGGACTCATGTTTGTTATTAGATCTCAGACCAATTGTAAGACTCTCAGGGTCCTAAAAATAAAACAATTAATTACAGGCACTTGGCATTCATTGATCCCAAAATGTCTAAAATCTAAGAGGTAAGTTTCCTACATGAGGGGTGCAAAGTCATTTGGAAACTACATTTTCTATATTTTCTATATTTTCATATGACGGGGGGAAAAGAAGTTTTAGTTCCAGTGACATCAGGGGAAGTTGGATATAACATCCACTATGTAATGGGTTTACCCTTTAGCCCAGAGCCTGGGTTATTTTTCACCTCAGTGTTGTGAATTCTAGGATACTATTTTTGAAAATATTTTAGTGCCAACAGTTTTTTTCACATCTTAAATCTTCTTAGGATGAATTTACTTTAAGCATTTTATCCTTTTGATCTGCAATGACATTAGAAATTTGAGTGCTCTTTACATATTTGCATATATTCTATGCAGCACACATGCAAGAGAGGCTATTTTAGTCTGCTAGAGTTAGACACAAACATGTTTTAGCAACATGATATCACTCCAGTCAACTTTTTTTCTTAATGCAGCAAAATGCTGCAGATGTCTATAATCTTGGAAGCAGTTAGTAAGATTAGTGATGCTGGGCAGAAAAAAACATTAAGCAATGTTCTAAACTATCTTCTAGGGAAAAATGTCTTCTTCTGTACATATTACACTCATATCAGAGTTGAAGCACAGCATTGCATTTTTCAATATTCCAAGACTTTTTCAGAAGAAATAATGCAACATACAGTAAATATTAGAGATGGGCGAATCTTCAAGTGTTACAATACCCAGGAAAACACCTCAAAGTTCAGCTGCTTCTTGAGAACTAATTTGACCCTTCTGCATCTGGAACAATGAACTGACCATAAGAATAAATGCATTGAAGGATGGAAGGAAGGAAGGAAGGAAGGAAGGAAGGAAGGAAGCTAGCTAACTCTAGGACCTTTGTCAAAAGGTTCCCTGTCAAATGGGAGAGAGCTGGGACTGTTTTTTCCACCAAGCAGATTCGCCCAACTCTAACTAAAACATGCTTTTGTAACAAAGTGACACCTGAGATAGAATGACAGTGAACTACATTTATTGTAAACAGCACCACCCTTTCAAAAGGATCCCAAAGCGCTTTACAAGCATTAGAAAGAAGAACCACTTCACTTCCCAGTGAAGCACAATCACCTCTGAGGTGAAATGTGGTGACTGACAGTGCAGAACAACACACTTTATTTTAGTCGAGGAAATGGAGAATGTTGTAGCCAATTAAAACTATGGGGTGGGTGAGTGGTGGTGGGGAATGTTGGGTAAGCAGAACAGTTACATAAATTGGTATTTGGCCAGGTGCTTGAGGTTGAGATGACCACACTATAAAAAAGTGCCATGGGATCTTTAATGACCATAACCGGTCAAGACCTAAATTTTACGTTCTCTGAGGATAAAAACATTAGAAAACAATGAAAGATACCTTTGTTGAATACATTTCTGGACAATGATATGTGCCAATTATTCTTCTGTCCTGTAAGTTAATAAAATCAAGACCAGTTTCCTTAGAGATAAGGCAGCTATTATCTTTCATTTAAAATTAAAGCACTGTAGTATAATAGTAGGACAAGTAATTAAAATATATAGGGACCTCTAAGCCAACAATTAGCATAGGTACATTCTGGCTTCAGAGGTGCTATTACTGCCTTGCTGTGCTCCTCAAGGTAACATAATGTTGTGATGTAAATGTATTTTTTCCAGTTGGTCATTTGACCAAGGAAGATATGATGATATGAAAACAATTATTAAAATTATTCTGGGGGAAAGTAAGTGTAAAAGTGGTTTCAAAAGGAGGTGGAGGAAGGTTAAAAAGATCTCTTGGTGCTGAAGGATTGTTCAACCATAGAACTAGACTCTTTATGGTGAACAGGAGAGTTCAAACTTAATGGAGAAATTCCCAGGACAAGAAAGGAAGGGAGGATGAAGATGAAGAAAAAGCAGCAGCAAGTACTATGGAAATAAAAGGTGAAGGCAGAAGTGGAGGAGTAATGACCAGAGCTAAGCAACCATGCAAGACACTGGGGTTTTTATAAATAAATCTTAAATGTGAACGACAAAATAGATGATGCAAATGATTCATTTACAGGTCCAGGTCAAACGGAAGAAAAGCTGACTCTGGAGCCTTGAAAGTGGTCATGACTTTTTTGATGGTCTCAAACAAAGGGAATACAGAGGAAAGCATAGAATTGTTACCATTATATATTCTTCCTGATACCTAGAAACTCCAAAATGATGGCTTTCTTGAGGAATTCATCTTACAATAATACATTAGCAACTGTTAAATACAAGAAAATTACAACTCCCACACACATTCATTAGGAATCCTCCAAGGATGACCAGACCTCTGAAATTATTAACTTTCAGTAAATCAGTTCCTTGGTGTTTATGGTCTGCTGCTCTGCCAAACACAGCTTTATAGTACAGGAGAAATTTATACTGATGAATTGAAAAGATACAACATTGACACTTCTCCTTTCTCATACACTGTTCATTTTCACCTGTAACCTTCAACTACAGGCAGGAACTGGTGGCTCATTTTATGGTAGAGTGACTCAGAAACTGTGTATAAAATAGACAGTAGGGATGGAATTCCTGATAGAAAAACTCTGAAACAAAACAGTTGTAAATTGAAAACTTACTTTTTGTTAAGTAGAGCTGCCAGTAGATTAAAACAAAATCTGGTGAGGTAAACCATGGAGTCTAAACTGGTAACCAGTCTATTATAAAGACTAAAACCTCAAATTTAGCAGTTATATGTCCTGTGAAGTGACATTCCTAAGAAATGAAGACAGAAATAAAGATCCCTTTCTCAATGAAGACTTATGTGACATGTCTAGATATATAATTTAATTTGTTACAGATGAAAACCTTACTATCTATAGCACAGTTTCCCACTTCTTAAAAGCTGAGGTTTCTTGGAAAAGCAGTAATGTTCCATTCCTGACTAGTCACAGGGGCTCAAGTAAGATCAGATGAAAGTGTGACGTGCACTTTACCTGTAATAGGGATCTTCCACCTCATCAGCAAGGTCTGACTCATGGAATGGGAACCACTGAGCTCTGGGGATAGCCCTGACTGCACGGGCAATGTGTGGGAGGTAGACAGCTCTGTGTAAGCTGCTGCTGGGTTCACTCTGGATGAAAAAACAATTAATGAATTTCAAAGGGCACCTGCCTAAAGCTATAGTGGTATTTTTGACATGATAAGCCAGTCTGCTGAGATAAAGCTATGGAAATTTATAAGACACAAATGCAAATATTTCAAAATATCTATATGAGAAACAATTTCTTTAACAATGTAACAAACCCTGCATTTCCATTGTCTGTCCAAAACACAGTTAACTGCCCGTATTGTAGCTACTGTATATGAAACCAGGCTAGCATGTATTGTTGTATACCTAAAATTTGGGTCAGGCTGTAAAGAATAAAGTTAGAGGACAGTAATGGGGTAGACTTATCATTTCAGGTTGCTTCACATGGTTTCAGATCAGAAAATTCAGAGAAACTGCAAATGAGAGAAGGATTTTCTTCAGGTTCTTGACCTTTCAAAGACTAAAAATCTAAGCACACCCTATGCCCCTGCAAGAAACCTGTAAGAGTTAAAAAAAAAAAGGGGGTGAGGAAAAAATATAAGATCTGAACATGGAGCCTTAACATTGCTCTAAATAATTGTAAATCAGTTTATAGACATCCATTTCTACCTTCTGATATATATGACTTCTTGATCATTATCTTTAGTAACGCAGCCATAACTTAGTTGCAAGTATTGCAGGATTCTGGAGAAATGGTTGAAAATATAACTTCCCGTTAGTATGCATTACTTAAACATGGGATTCTGTATTTAAGGCACTGAAGAATGAGTGCCCAGATGAAATGTGAGAGGCTAAAACATCTTTGCTTTGATGGCATTTGAAAAAAACCCATGAAATATGAACTTGTTCAAACCTCTGCACAGAATCCAATAAGCTTGAAGTTTATATCAATGTCTTCTCAAATACAATTTGCAGCAACAATTTTTTGACTACTGAGACATTTAGGAGGAAGCACAGGAAGGTGATCTGGAACAGAAGATTTCTGGGGTAGCAATTAACAACAGCTTAAATCCTATTGTTTCACAAAAACCAAGGTGTTGGGCAGTGCAGATTCTTAGTAATACTGCTCTGATGAAGTTATTTGTTATTTCTTTTTTAAAATATCATCCCATTTACAAGTATACAATTAATTTTTTTGAAGATAATATGAATGAAGAACACATCAGCAAGAATCTGCATCTTAACCTGCTCACTTCCATCTGTGACAAGGAAAATGAAATTTTCATCAAGCCTTTATGACAACCATAAGTCTCCCATTATGGTGTCTTACAAAATACAATTTAGCAGATATATTGAGCACCAAAATTCTACTACAGAAACAGAGCAAAATCGGTTATATAAGAAAGTGTTGTGAAAGACAAAAAAATGCATTGAACACACAATTACCACCACAACTTGCAAAATTTCTAGGGTATAATTTGGACATAGTTATGGTTTTGAAATATGAACTAGATGGTACAAATAAGGTTGTTAAGTTGCTCCTCTAGAACAGCTTCAGAGAAATACATTAAAGATGTTATTTTTCTTGTTTGAAGCCAAATATAATGTGCAAAGAACTACACAGCACATCCTTGTCATGAGAGTGGGTGGACTGAATGGCAGTCTACCAGTTTCATCCGTCTGACCATGATATCTCACTTGTCAACAGATTCAGGCTTGTGGTTTTGGGGAACACATAATTCTTGGGCCCAGGCCAAAGCCAAACATGTTCAGAGACAGCAAGAGGACCAAAGATAAAACTCTGGGGAGAAACTGTAACTAATTCAACAAAAACAACAAAACTAAAAGAAAATTTCTGAAATCTTTCTATGGAAAAATCACTGAGAAGATTTTGTTATAAAGAAAAGAAAGATGATTTTTTATATTTTATAACGATGTCCAAATTAAAAAAGATCCAGAAAAGTATTTCACATGATCAGTTCATTGCTGATTTAGAAGCCTGAAACAGAGACAGTTCCACAGCTATAGATACTGCAAGGCTCAGAGGACTAAAATGAAATGGCTTCTGCTTTAAAATTATGAAAAAAGAAAAACCCAAACAAACCCAAATCTGTCTAAATTAAAATGTTCCTGCCCAATTTACTTGTACATCAATAATCTGGGTTTTTTTTTTTTTTTTTTTTTTTTTTTTGGAGAATCTAACATTTTGTTACTCATTTCAGAATGAGCAACAAGAATGAAGACACTTTCTTGTCAAGATATGATTAATAATTTAAAATATGTTTCTGAGTAAATTTCTGTATATGCAAAATATACACCAATATTATGTATAATTTAAAAATTGTATGCTACTTTAATTGTTTTTGTGTACGCATTAATTATAGGGAAAATAAAAACTAGATTATAGTTTTCTTCATGACATGGTATCTTTTTGTGTCTGTGCATTTCAATCAATTTGAGTTCAGTTAGTTAAATATATGCTTTGAATACTTATAAAACACATGGATAGAAAGTGGTCCAGAAAAACCCCATTACATGAAAAATAATCATATTTATTTAGGCTCTGTGACCTTTACTGTTGCATCCTTCAGGTCACAACTGCTAAGTTTCTGACAACCACATTACCAGAACACAGAGCTGGTTTTGAAAACGTGAGCAAGGACAGGTATGGAGAGCTTTTTTGCACACAGCTGAGACATGCACTAAGTTTAGGGACAAGTCTTGACAATTTTTTACATGGGAAGAAAACTATATTCAAGTCTCTTCTTAAAAGAGGAATGGAGACATAAGAATGAAAAAGGACATAGAAACCATGTTGTAGTACAACCTTTTATCATTGCAGAAGTATTCTTAAAACTAGTTTCTAAGGAGTAAAAAAGATATATTCACATATAGACATATATTGTCTCTACATGCACAGATCTGAGTTTAGGCATAATCCTACCAATCTACCTACCTAGTGTTTTCCTAAGTTACACAAAACTAACTCCTGGTGTCTATCTTTCTCCATATGCAGAATACTGGGAAAGCAGTGGAACCCAAAAGAATTTGTAACTAAGTGAATTTACCATGAAACATAGGTTTTCATAGGCCAGCTTGACTGTTTCACTAAATTTAACAGATGTGTAAGTAACACAAATCCTAACATGCTTTAAAAAAGAAAAAAGTACTAAATTTCCACATGTCTAAATGGATGCCTCTAAATGCATCTAAATGGATGGAGTCTTTAGAATGTGGTTTTCATATAAATAGACTGACAGTCACTATAACAACATTATAATAATATTTTTACCACGTAGTGACACCCAAGTGTACATAATCCAGTGATCCCAAAATTCATGCGCACAACTAGGTTACCTTCTCTAGCACATACTACTTGCAGTCACATCTTATGTTTTGGATAGCAATTTGCCAGCTCCTGGCTGCTGAATTAAGCCTTGACA